TTGCACCTTGTCTGCCATGCACAGCACAGCAGCAGAGAACATTGTGTCGGTCTAACTTGGCTCCCTGTGGGTAGGGACCTCTCCTTAGGTTTGAAGTCCTGTTAAAAAAATTAGTTTAATTTCAATCTCTTTCTGAGACAAATGCCTTAAAGAACAGATCATGATATAAAGAGGGCGTGTCAGCACCAATACAGACACCAGTTTTGCAGAAAAGGGTCCCAGCTTTGGAGTCCAAGTTGACAGAAGGACCTCCCTGCACTTGAATGAGAGAAATAGATTTTCAAACATACGTCTGGCCTGAGCATTTTCTTCCTCATTTGCTGTAGGCAGTTTTACACAGAGCCTGCTCACTGATCTTATCTCTGTCAATGTTACCTAATTATCTCCAGGTATGATACTCTTACAGGTATGATGCAGATTTGCTTGTGGGAACCAGAAGGCTGCTAGATCTTACAGTGTTTAATTCTCAGTTGTCTGTACCTTAGGCCTTTCAACAAAGCTGGAGAGCCTAACCTCTTTGCTGCTCTGCCACTCAGAGCCAGCATCATGGTGGTGTGGGCTAACACTGGTGGGCAACTCAGCCCCACACAGCTGCTCGCTGACTCCTCCACGGTGGGATGGAGGGGAGAATCAGAAGGGTGAAAGTGAGAAAACTTGTGGGTTGAGATTGAGGCAGTTTAATAGGTAAAGCAAAAGCTGCGCACGCAAAAGCAAAATAAGGAATTAATTCGCTATGTCCCATCGTCAGGGCAGTGCTCAGCCATCCCCAGGACAGCTGGACTCCATCACACCTAACAGTGACCTGGGAAGGCAAACGCCATCACTCCCAATGTCCTGGTATGGGATATCCCATTCCTGGTATGGGATATCCCTGGGGTCAGTTGGGGTCAGCTGTCCCAGCCGTGTCCCCCCCCCGACTGCTTGTGCACCCCCAGCCTGCTCGCTCGTGGGACAGGTGAGGAGAAAAGGCCTTGAACACTGTGCAAGCACTGCTCAGCAGCAACTGAAATGCCCTGGTGTTATCAACACTGTTTTCAGCACAAATACAAAACAGCCCCTTGCAGGCTACTTTGAAGAATTTTAACTTTATCCCAGCCAAAACCATTACAGTATGTTTCTAAAATTTAGCGAGTGATCAGACAGAACACGTTTCATGTATTTTAAGCATTTGTGAAAAGCTGCATATACTGAATAATTGTTACTATTAATTTTGATAGCTGTACTCTTAGATTCTAGCTAACAAATCACTCCAGGAAAATTATGAGACGGTGCACAGTCTGATTGACTGAAGGATACTTTTATTTTTAATCATGACTCAGTTGCATTTCTGTCTGTTAGAAAATTGCTTAGGAAAATTTACATATTTTCAAGCTTGTCATGAACTATAATAGGCATCTGTACTACATATGCTTAGAATTAAAACTTTGTTGCTAATATCATTGTTGTTCATGTTGCGATTTTCCTCACTGTTGTATTTCTGGGCCAGGTCTTTGTTTTCAACCTGTTGTTTAATGTTCTTCTCCTTAAGATGTACTATTTCAGTATTTACAATGTCTTTGTCTGACTCTTCTGAAACAGGTTATATACCTTTAATATCACTCTTCATTGGTGATATTTGAGATTCAGATACATCTTGCTTACCTAGCAGTAGTGGGTGTTTCTAATAAATTATGTCTTATTTAAAGGAAGATTACCTTTACAGTCTTAGATTATGGTGGTTTTAGTATTTTGCATCAGGTTGAATAATAAGCTACAATTTTTTATGTAAAATCTGAGAATGTGATTTTAGAAGTTAGGGTGTTTAAAGTAATTTTGAAGATTGCATTATTTTAATTTCCATGAAGTAGAATAATACAAGATTCAGACAGGAAATCATGCTGATCATTCACCTTGAGAGATACATGGAAAGAATAAAATATATGTATTGTATTGGGGAGAAAGGATGGGGTTTGTCATATCATTACATTCTACGTTGGAATAATATACTTTAGAAGGTTAATGTATACATGATTATTTTAATGAATGGGATTTTGCTTTATATTGCCAGAAAAATTCCGCTTTCCAGCAATGTGAAACATGTCACCTATTGTTCAAAATAACTGCTAGGTTATTTAGCATACAAGATAAAGCTTTGTTCCTTTCTACCTGTTGGCAGAGAACTTTGTGAACGAGTGAGAGATATGTTATTTAACCTAAGTGTGCAGTATGATAAAGATGCTTTTTCAATGTCAAACCATTCAAGTCTTGTGTAACTTTCACCCTCTTGATATATTAAAAAAAGAACAGAAAAAAAACAAAAAAAAAACAAACCAAACAAAAAACCCCAAAACAACCACAAAACAGCCAAAACCATTCAAGAACAATCAAGAAGGTTGCTCTAGCGTTACAATTTCATAACACAAAAAATCTAAATAAATTAGATTTTACACCCAATTATGAAGCCATTTCTTATGTTCTTATTAATATTGTTACTTTGTTTATTCTCTAAACTCTTTAAAGCAAGGAAGTGAAACTGCAGTATGTGAAAATATCTCCATTAGTAGGGCTCTGTTGGTTGGCCTGGAGCACGTTTTGTCCAAGCAGCACAACTCAATCAATACATTTCTTGCCTGAGAGAGATGAGGGAGTCTCTGTGGCGAGCCAGCCTTTGCATGCACTCATAAATGTTCCAAGATTGTTCCAGTGTTTAGGTGAATTCTGTGCTTTAGATGTTCGATAGAATGTGAACATTTAGTGTTGCTGGATCCTGGTCATTGCCTCTGTATTTAGGATTCATACTGTGCTTTTGAGTTGACAAAAAGCCAATAATCTGAAAGGACTTGACCAAGTACATCTGTGCCTGTAACTTCAAGGAGGAGGCATACCCTTAGCTGAAGAGGTGTACCAGACCTCCTAAAACTGAAAGTCTTTCAAATTTCAGGTTAATTTTCTCTGAACAGCAAACTGTTAGTCCCCGGAAAAAAATTGATTTTAATCTTTACACAGGATCTTCAGTGTCAGTTTTGCAGATCTGCTTTGTGAGTTAGAAACCTTGGGGTCTTGCTCCTGTGTGCCTACCGTGCTTTTGCTATGGCTGTACCTGACTGTGCACCACTTGTGAAAGCACTGCAGATTATTTCTGGCGTGTTAAGAAAAACAGAGGCTTATACAGTTTTGCCTTTATAATGTGAATCCCAAAAGATGGTGTTTCACATATCACCTTGCAGCAACTACCGGTTCACATGGGCAGGTCTGGGGAAAGAACCATTGTTTCCCTGTCAACCAAGATCCCTGCGGTGTTCTTTGCAGGCACTTGTCAGAGTTACCTAGTGAGGGCTGAATTCTGCTTTAATCTTAAAATACAGGTTCACCTTTATAAAAAAAAACCAAAACAAAACAAAACATATTTTCTCCAGTTTTGCAATTTTTTCTACATAGAATGACTTGCAGGAAATTTGCTACTGTGATAATTAAATGATCTGCAAGTTAATATTAATTAGGGAATAGCATGTAATTATTTTTTGTTTCAAATCATGATAATTAAAATATTTTTAATGAATTTATGAGCATATTGTATATCAGTTTTGTAATTTTAATCAAAATATGTAATAGTTGCTTTTTTTAATTGAACTTATATAAGCTAAAAGGAGCAGAGGTCAAAACCTGACAATTTTAGCAATCTGATGATTTCCAGGTAACTTAGTTGTCTCTTGCAGTCATTTGCGTGTAATAGGTGGATTTTTTCAATTATTTTTTTTAGAAGATTTTTTTTCTGCATATGGTAAAGACAAACCAATATTAGTCATAGCAGTCATGGAGGCTTGCTTATAAGAGCTCTTTCATAAGGCACTCAAGTCTTGAAGTGTAGGAGGAGGTTAAACGTTAGCACAGTAAATAGCTATGAGATATTTTTACTGTATAAAGAAATATCTCAGAACTGAAGTCTGTGTATCTTTTCGACTTGTTATGATGAAGGACAAGCCAAAAAATTATGCTGTTGGTGAACGGCCATTATATTGGAAAATTATACTATGTAAGTGAAATGTTGTTTTGTACCGCAGACTGAGGATATTGCTTAAGATTCATGCATTCTGATACTTCTTAATTGAAATGAGTTCATGTAATAGCAGTGTGGGTAACCCATTTTGTGGGGTAATTGTATTTCTTTTAGGTAGTTTTCTGTGTTGCTTGCTCAACATTTATTGGGATGGTGTACAACATTCCACTTAGGATTTTTCAGAATTTATAGTAAGAACTGTTGGATCTCTTCAGAGGATGCGGGAATCATACTGAATCAAGGTTAATGGCTGTTTATAGAAGGTGAAGCCTCAAGGGTAATACAGAAGGTGAACAGGTCAAAGTGTTCAAGTGCCAGCTCTATTTGATTTTCAATTAGAGTCTAGAAGTATAAGTTATACAACTGGGAATGAAACCCAGAGCTAGCTTTTTTTCATAACATTTGACTCTTCAGATTTTTGTTATTAATAAAAGATACATCAACAAAGGCATTGATATCCTGTACATCCAGTGTTAGCATTAGAAGCAGTCATATTAAAATGGAATTAATTTTTGGTTTCTGCAGAGAAGCCTCACTGATTTGTTGTTTGTTCTGACTGTATGAAATCTTTCATTGTGGCTAAAAGTAATTCATAAAGGGATTTTTTAATTATTATTTAAAGCCTCCCTGAGCACACATTTGCACTAACAGACCATTTCTGAACCAGAAGGTCCCTCACTTTGCTTTTCTTGGCAAATTAGTCCAGAAAGATTTTTGATAGATTTCACAGCTCTTTAATTTTTTTTTTTTTTCCTTAAATTGTACTGAAGCCAACATCCTGAGTAGATGGAAGTTCGCTGTGAAATTTATACTCTTTTTACTCCTTTTCTTATTTTAGTTTTTTAACGGTTACTCAGTTCTTATGGGTCTGCACAGAATAGTCCAACTGAATCAATTATATTTCAGCACATAGAAGTTTGTCATGCTTAACTTTTGCTACTTACTTTTTTTTTTTTCCCTATAGGTATATTCGAATTGTTGGGACCCACAACACAGTGAACAAAGTTTTCCATATTGTGGCATTTGAATGCATGTTCACAAACAAAACCTTTACACTGGAGAAAGGTCTGATAGGTAAGAGATAAAACTGTTTTCCTTTTACATTAACTGTTGCAAATGGTTGCCTTTTAAGACTGGCCGTCACTGCACTCTTACTCCATTTTCCACGCAGAAATCTCTAAGTTGAGTTAAATGATGCTGTAAGCCCAGAATTGGTTGGCTAGTCCTAGCGACTGCTTTGAAATTCTAGTTCTGTGGATTAATTAGTGATGCTGCAGGAATGCTAAAGTTCAAATTAAATCAACTACTGTTGACAAAGCCACTGGTAATTGAGTCACTCTGTGCTGCTAATCTGATTTTTTTTCTTTGCATGCCATGGTACAGTTGCTCTTGCCTCCCGCTAGGTTAGCCTGAATTCTGTAACGGGGATGGAGTAACCAGAGCTATTTACCGCAGTGAAGATGGATTTGGGCATTTAGGGCCTCTTATGCAGACTAATTTCATCTGCTAAAAGTAAACTCTAACGCGTTGATTTTCTCCCCAGAGAGTCACAGACACGCTTAGCCATGGTAGAACATTATATTGGCTACCCTTATTCTCAGAACACATTCATGGGGCTCTGACTTCTGGAGCTCTGGTCAGCTTATATAATACTGATTTAAGTACCTCTGCATAGTATTGCATTACTTAAGGTAGAAATCCCCAGAAGATCAACAATACTGAATTATAAGCTCTATCAAAGTAAGATTTAATATAAATTTTTTTAATTGTTCAAACAGGGAAATTTCTGTGTTTTCTTTCATATAAACTCACGTGAATGAGATCTTGAAGTTCTTTGGGAAGAGTTTTGTATGCCCTTAGTAGTCGTCTAGGTGGGATTTCCCACAGTTTGTTACTTCTGTCATGAAATTGAGAATTTCGCAAAATTCTTAAGAGTTCATGCTGGTTTTAAACATATATTTCAATTTTAAGTATGCACCTACAATTGATGGGAGAACAGTTCTCAAAAGAGAATGAGAGGGAAGATTTTAGTAAGACATTTTTCTTTTAAATTTTTTTCTGAGAAAACTATAATATTTAGCTGTGAAAAACTGGGACCCAACTCCTTCAGCCCATTCCCCATGCGTTGTACAAAGGCATTGCATGGTTATACCTGACCTCTTGAGATTTGCTGTGTAATTTCTTGATGTTTTTTTTGAAGCATAGAATAAGTAGTCTGACAAATCACACTTTACTAATTTTTTTTTTCATATAGTCCCAACATGTACAACCTGTCCCATAATGCAAATAGAAAGTTTTCCCTTTGTTTTAGGGAGTTTGGAAGTAGTATTGCAATTGCTACTGTCAAGAAAATAGAATAAGCAGTAGGGAAGAACTGTGTTTAAAGAAAACATACACCTTCAGTAAACTAGTTAGTGGCAAAACAACATGTTTCAAGTTTGATAAAATCTTTGAACTAAATTTCATATTCAGCACTACCAGCTATGAATTTCATACAAAATAAGAGTTACTATGTGCGAATAAGTGGTGCATATATCTATATGTATTTGATTTAAGTTTATTGGTCTCATTTAGCAAATACTTAATTTAGGACTCAAATAACATATTTGCTTTCCTTTTTTTTTTCTTCTTTTTTTTCTTTTTGTGTAACTCAAAGATTGTTTGGTTGTAACAGTAGATAAGGTAGTGAATCTGTGTATGTTCATGAAAGTGTACTTGTGCCATAATTGATTTGTCTCTCAGATACTCAATAATACTTTGTGGTTTAGTGAGCATTTTGTTGAGACAAAGTATTTGATTTGTTCATCATATCATGAGCTTCAAAGATGATCTAGGGGATGGAGACTTTATATGGCTTTATTAAACTTTATCTGTTTATGAAAATTTCTTTTTATAGTTACAGAATCTTACAGGTATTTAGGGTTTGGACTACATAATAGTAAATATCCATTGTTGTTCATGGTGATCAGTGGAACTATGCTGTCATTCAGTGTGGGTCAATCAAGCTGTTGTACATGTAAGTCATTTGAAGTGACCTACAGTTAACAAGGAGAGGCCTGTAAGACTCTATAGCCTTTCATCTGGAAGGGATGGTAGTCAATACACTTAATAGAAAATTAAAAGACTAAGAATTCTGCGAGTATTTAATTGAAAGAGGAATGTGAACCAACTTCTGATTGTAAATGAGGTAGCAACAGTTGGATATGTGACCCTGTGGAATTTCTGGTAAGAAAGGGACAAATGGAAAGATTTTGGGACTAGTTGAGGGCAGTCCAGTTGTGAAATGGTGCAGGGGCACAATGGCCGTTCCACTAGAATTTACAGCCATCAATACTAACTATTCAAAAATATTCTCAACAGCTTTCATTCAGCAAAGTGACCTTATATCCATTTAATGCTTTGCTTTACATACCTCTGATGGTTACTGTAAGGTAACTGTGTTGTCTGGCTTCCTCGATCAAGCAAACTGTCCCAATTCCACTTCTGTAAAAAAATCTGTATGAAAACCAATGGGGTAGTTAGCACAGATTTATTTTATTGCTCTAATGGGGATTTGTAATGTTTGTTTCTATTTCTGCAGTGACCAGATAGGGTAAAGTGAACTGAAAGCAGTTAGGAAAGCTCCACAAAAAATAGGAAAAGGCAGTAATCAGAATAGGTTGTGTTTAAGCTTGACTGAGTATAGAGGCTTTCATCATGACGCTGTGAAAAGCAGTGTTAGGTAATACTATTGGGTTCATTGTTTATCCCATATGGTATTAAATCAGGTTAGAACAAGCACAGCTGCTGTTTCTATAACCTGTTTTATTAAGAAAATGAGATGCTGGTCAGCCCTTGAAGGCCATATGGTCCTTTCAGAAAGACTTTGTGACCCTTACTTCTACCAAACCAACACAGAATAGAGTATGCAAGGAGTTTGTCATTTGAAACCTCATTCTAAAGAAAGAAGGCCACTGAGGTATTTGTTTAGGGTTCTTATGTGGAGATTTAAGAGTAATTATTTATTTAATTTTCATGAAACGTATTCAACTTGGTCAGAAAGCTGTATATACAAACAGGGCAATTTATCAGATATATTACTACTGATACGTAGTATCTATGTAGTAGCTGTCACTGTAAAGTGAGGATTAGAAGGCTGGTAAACAAGTAATACAAATGAAGCGCTGTTTCATGATAACAGCAATTTTATGTTGCAGTGTTTTTGGATACAAGGTTTTCATGACCAATTATTAACTTGGCATATTACATTTAGAAGTTAATATGGAATATAATTCACACAGTTACTTTATACAATACTGGATGCGGTACTGACATGACCCATTGGTATCTGAGCAGCAGTTTTGAAGTAAAAGTAGCAGGAAGTGCTTTTTCTAGCACTGTCTGGTGTTTTAGTATTAGTTTACACTTTGTTGTAATGTGAAAAGGAGGTAAGTGACAGAAATTAATTCAATCATATGAAATTATTCCCTAACACAGATGTTAGGGTTGAGATGTAATTTTCCTTTTGGCATACTGTTATCTCTAAATGTGTAAGTTAGTTAACGGTTCTACATATTAGATTCACGAGATTGACATAACTCTTTCATTTAACTGGGATGTAAATATTTTTTAAATCTCAAAAGCATAGTGTTTGCTTGTAATGAACTTCCGCTTCTAAAATTTTGAACCGTCTTTAGTCATTAATATTTAATCTAGAATACAAAGCAAATGAAAATTTCCACAAGTAAGAGGCCAACCCCTTTGGAGGCAGAAGCAGTACCCCGTGTGATGTAACATTTTCTAAAAGCTTACAGTGTGCCCAGTGGCAAGAAACTACAACAGTGGGTAAGGTGCTGCTTCTGTGCAATGCCTCTTTTGGGTTTGGGGGGATTTTTTCCACCTAAATATAGGAACCAATTCCTCTTTTTCTGCCTCAAAGGGAGAAAATTGATGACCTCGCTTAGCCCTTTAATCAGTACGCAGTGCTGCGGGTCAGTCAAGGACTAGGTAGGCACGTGGGTTTGACCAGCCTACTGTCCTATTTTGAGCCTCGTTAAGGTCATAGGGAGTGTGGAAGGCTTTTATATGAAGTTGTGTTTATCTGCAGTCTGTCTCAGTCTATCAGACTATCTTGTAACTTGTACATTGCACACAAAAGGGAGAACAGTGAATAATGACTGAAGAGCAGGAGATGGATATAAAACACTGGAATGTCCTTGGTCACCCTCTGGGGAATGCTGTTCAGTAGTAATGAATCATTGTGAACCTTCATTTGTGTGCTGTTCAATGCCTTAGGAGAACTTGTTTTGAAAACTAAAAGATGAAATGAATAAATAATCATTCACTTGTCTTTTATTCTCTGGCAGTTACTTAAAAATTAAAAAAAAAAAATTAAAAATAAATATATAACAGAGAAAAACCAGTCATATCAGTTTCCTAGTGTGTGTGGTTCAGCTTTCTAAAAGATTGCTCTATCTCTCTCCAAGGAAGCAGTGAGAGATGCTATTTTTGTGTCTAGTTTAATGTTGACTCCACACAAAGCTATCATATTTTGTTTCTTTTCTTTTTTTTAAGATTAGCCTTCTTTCAAAACTATGCAGGTTTACCCAGCAATGTAAGTCAGCTCTGCTGCAAGCATAGCCTTAGGAAATTAGGAAAATTTGAAGACGATCTAAATACTGCAGGGATTTATTTTTTTATTCTTTCTACAGGAAAGGACAGCCACATGGTTTGTTTAGTTACTGCTACCCATTCCTGATCAGAGATCTGCTCATATGGTTCCAGTTACTTTTTTTTTTTTATTTATTTCCTATTTCCAGTGCTGCAACAAAGGATGTGTACTTTGTAGGGCTCTACTGAAACAATTGCTATTTCTGAAAGCCTTCTTCAGGCAGAATGTTTAATGAATGCACCCTGTAGCCAGGCAGTTAGTTGGCAGATAAAAGTATGGCCACATCTAATGACTTGAATGCTTTTGTTCTAATTTATTGAATCAGAAACCACAAACTATAGCAGATATCAACTGAAAAATCAGCCTTCTCTGAAGTTACTCTAATCCAAACTGACAGTTGGACATAGACAAATATTAGTGGGGT